GCTGAATATTAGCCAATAAGTGTTTTAAAATCTCATTCATCTGGTCTACTTCTCTGAAGGACTGAGGACATTAGGGTACAGCTTATAGGAATCTGCCAACACCTGCATAATTCCTTTACAATAGAAGAAATAAAACGACTTCCTCTTCTGATTCAAGATGTTCTGGTAACCCCAAAATTGGTATTATGTGCATTAAGAGAGCTTTTACTTGTTCATTGCAGCACTTTCACAATAGCTAATAGGTAGAAACAACCAGAATGTCCATCAACAGATGAATGGATAAATAAAATGTGGTATATACACGTAATGTTATGCAACCATAAAGAGAAATGAATTTCTGATGCACGCCACATGGATGAACCTTGAAAACATGCTGAGTGAAATAAGTCAGTTGCAAAAGGACAAATACTATATGATCTCACGTATATGAAATAAGCAAATATCAGAAACCAAAGATTATTAATGGTTACTAGGGTTGGGAGGGAGAAAGGAGGAAGTTTTGTTTGGGTGCACTGAGTTTATGTTAATGGTGGTGGAATATTTTGGGATACTATAGTGATAATGGCAGCATAAACTGAAAAACGTAATCAATGTCATTGAATTGTACAGGTAGAAGTGTTGGCAAAAGTTTGGTGTGTATATTTTCACCACAATTAAAAAAAGAGAGAGCCTTTACCACTGCCTGAGCATCAGCTTTGGAAGAGAGAAAGACTTTAGACCCTTAAGACATCATACACATAACTATGCAAAATCTCCTACCTTCTTCCAGCATTAATTCTATGAAATCTAACTGCTACCAGCTTCCTGGCAGAGATAGTTGAGGTAAACTTCCTGCACTTACATTGGGAGTAACATGTAAAGAAATCTATTGAAAAATAGCACATCTTTTTAATATGTTTTGAATAATTTTCATCTTTCTGTTAGGTGTAGTAACAGCCTAACCCAAAACTCAAACCTGCTACCATTAATTCTGACTCATGGCAACCCCATGTGTTACAGAATAGAAATGAGCTCCATTGTATTTTCTTGGTTGTCACCTTTATAGGAGATTGCCAGGACTTTCTTCTGTGGCACCACTGGGTGGGTTTGAACCCCAAACCTTTGGAGTAGTAGCCACGAGTAAACCGTTTATGCCACCCAGGAACCAAGTAAGAATCTACTGCCTTTAAAATTCCTCTTTTGTAAATGATTTTGTTGATGACATAATAACACTAACCAAGCAAATATGGATTGCAATACAGGAATTATTTTGTTACATAACTCCCATATTTCAGTAGAATTTGTCTTTAAAATCAAATTGTCCATTTCTTTTCATGAAGCACTTTTAGAAATGAACGAAGTTTCTTGTATTGAAAGTGGGGCTTCTAAGTTTGGAGTTTGCCATAGCTTAACAGTGGCCTTTGCAGCTCTGTCAGCAATATAATTGTTTTTAGTAATTTTATGATTCTGCCCCGTGTGAACTCTATAGTGAATTACTCATATCTGAGTAGGTAGTTGTAAAACCTCTAGCAAAACATCTATCAATATTCCAGGAGATATTTTAGGAGTCAAGAATACCTTATGTTTTTCCAAAATTGCCCTGTTGCATGATAGACACCAAACACATATTTACTATCAGTATATGTATATTCCCTTTAAGTCCAGAACCACAAATTGCTGCTGCAGTAACTGCTAGTAACTTGTCTGCTCTTGAAGACTTAATTCCAGACACGTTTACAAAATTTCATGTAACCACAGAATAGGAAGACTTAAGCGGGCCACTTTTAACTCAAGTACATGAGCCATCAACAAGTATGATCAAATCTACACTATGAAAAAGAATAGGCCCATTTAATCTGCAAAATGGGCTGACTCCTAGATTGTAACATTTTGCAACCTTCAGTTGATAACAGATACCCTGAATATTTTACATAAATTTGACAATATTGCAATTTGTTGAATAAGGCCCTATGGCCCTATGGATCAAGAACTTGTAATAAAGCCAATGAGTTTTACATTGCTCTTTAGTTTCTGAGGCTACCAGCACTGATTTACATATCTAATAATTCAACGTCAATCTGGTGAGACAAATTTCTCTAGGTTTTCCTTTAAATAACCGAAGAAAATAGGAGGAGTTCTGAAAACCCTTGAGGAATCCTTCACCATAAATCTGGACTCCTTAATCAAATATAAACAAGATTTTAGGCTCATCAGCTAGCAGGACAAAAGGAAAGAAAAAGCAAAACAGAGCAAATAGAGGAGAAAATGGCAAATGGCGGTAACAAAGTCAGAAGCAGAATTGCAGGGTAAGGAAGTACAGGGGTTAATGGGACAACTAATTTATTTACTCCCCTAAGATCATGTACATATCTATATAGTGACTGACCATCTTTATTAAATTTACCTCCTGTATTTACTAGATGTATGGGCTTATTACACCACCTGTCTGTGTACCATACTGTGGTGGCTTGTTGGTATGATGCTAGAAGCTATGCCACTGGTATTTCAAACACCAGCAGGGTCATCATGGTGGACCGGTTTCAATAGCCCTTCCAGACTGACAAGGAAGAAATGCCTGGTAATTTAATTCTTAGCCAATGAAAACCTGATGAATCACAAGACTCAAACATATCAAGGATCATGAAGACGGCACAGAACCGCATGTTTTTTCCTGTTTGTTATAGTAAAGCCCCCATAAGCTGGAGCTGACTCCATGGAAATTAACAACAATCGGCATATTACAGGGTAAACATCCCTTTTATTTATTCATTTTAAAAAGGTCATATACTGATTGTCAGAATTATTATAGCCAGTTTTATCTGCTCTGGGTGGTCCTCCTACCCTGCTGGCTCTGAATGGCTAGGCTGAGTGGCAGTGGGCTCTCAAAGGAAAGTCCATCAATGGAGAGCTTTCATGGGAGGAAGAGCAGCCAAGACTATGCTCTCATGCTAGGACTGTGCCCTTTGACGTGTACCACTCCCTTCAGGTGCTTCTGCTCCCAAATGACTGTACCTTTAACCTGATGAGCGTGGGTCCTACCCAGTGAGACCCCTCAAGTCAGTTGAGAGACATCATGCCTTTGAGATAGAGAAAGGAGACGTTATTGCAAGCTGGTCAAAGAACTCAGAGACTAAGTCTCAAATCAAGCTCCCTGAGGTTGGGGATTTCAGGGACATAAGTTTCTGGATAGAGAAGTTATGCATAATTCATGAAGCTTCTGAGAATAGGTGGGCAATTCCAGGAACTAATTAACGTGTGGGGTGCAGTGGGGGTGCAGTGTCATGGCATCTAGGGGGTGTGTTTTTCAGGGTGCGATGTATGAGGTTCATTTAAGGACATCTTTGCCACTTACCATGCATGTTGGAATGGAGAGGGAGCAGTGAAGTGGCCTTGAGCTGCTACACTGGGTCCCTTATCAGGAACTAGTTAACCCAGATCCAGTGTGTGATGGATGGAGGGAGAACAATTAAACCCTGTTAGGTACAAACTGGGCAGGGAGGGCATGATGTGGACAGAGGTGAAAACTTACCTCAAAGGTGGGTGGGAACCCGAGTTAGATGGCCGACTAGCAGAGGCACTCATTCAGACACGCATGTTCACTTCCGGATGCAGCCTTGGTAACAGTGCACAGGGCAGGCCTGGAGTTTCAGGAGGCTGGTGGCAACAGCTGCTGCTTCCAGCTCGGAAATGAGAAATACTGTTTTCCTCTTTGGGCCAAGGCCGTCAGTGGAAACCCAACTCGGAATGTAGGGCTGTGGCCGGAAACAGATGCGGAGGGTGGGTTGGGGAAAAGAGCAGTTGCTATGATTTCTCTTGCAGTCCACGTTTCCGTTCCAGTTTACTATGGGACAGAGGAGCTCTGTATAAACCTCCAGGCCCTGTAGCAGGTGTGTACCCCAAGTGGAGCAGCAGCCACCAGTGCAGACCAGTCCAGCCACTGCAGCCTCAATTCCTGACTCAGTACATTCTTTGAACCATAAAATTACCAAAAGCAGGAATGTTTCAAAATACAGGTCCTGTGCCTGGGCTGGACAAAAGCTCCATTGCATCTAGGTCAGGTTGTGGGTCTGTGCAGGAACACTATCTCTGCTTATCCCTAATGTGAGCCCTCCTTCAACAAAAATCCTACTTCTCACAGCACCATTTGAGAGGGATGTTTTTGTGAAATGGTGGGATGTGGGTTAAAATTTTCTGTGCAGTTTATGCATTAGCAATCTAGGGATCATAACAGTTGTGGAGGATGAATATGAAAAGCTATGGAAAAAAAGTTTGGTACAACACTGCACACACTAATCCATTCTTTAAGAAAACACTGCTTTGTACACAAGGCTAAAAGGAAATACCCAATAAGAGTAGTAGAAATCTGAGTGATTTTTGGTTTTCCTTATAATTTTATGTTAAAATTCATTTTTTTCTACAATAAGAACATACTGCTTTATAATGTGGAAAAAATACAAAAACTTTAAAAACATAGTTGATAACAAAACCACACAGTTTATCAAAGGTTGATGAGATTTTGTAAGAAAGGCAATTTTTACATAATGAAACCCAAATAGCATTTTGGTACTTATCCAAAATCATGTGCTACAACTGAAAGGATACTTTGATTACAGTCACAGTCTCTCTAGTGTCTGAGGTACAACAGAGATTCTAAGAAAGGATGGACACTGAAGGCTTCCCTTCTTTTACATTCATAAGATCTCTCTACAGTGTAACGTGTCTCACGTTGACTAAGAATACCAAATGACTTGTAAATATTTCCATGTTCCTTACATTTACGATTTCCCTAAAGTGTGACTTCTCACATGTCCAACAGGCTTGAATCTTCACATCTTAGAAAGTACGGGGGGGGGGGCAGAGTAGAGGGGGAAGTAAAAACTTTCTCACATTACATTCCTTACACTTACATGGTTTCTCTCCCATGTGTCCTCTTTCACGTTTGAAAAGATGAGGGATGACTGAGAGCTTTCCAACATTATATTGTTTCTCTCCAGTGTACCTTCATTGTATTGTCTCTCCAGTGTACTTTCTTACGTCTTCAAAAGGCTGAGAACAACACTTTATCTCATTGCTTACACTGGTAAGGACTCTGTCCACTGTGAGTTCTTATATGTTTCCTGAGGGATTTGAACCAACTAAATTGTTTCCCACATTCCTTACATTTATAAGGAATCTCTCCATTATGGGTTCTTATATGTGTAGTGAGGCTTGAGAAATCACGAAAAGACTTTGCACACTCTTTACATTGATAAGGCCGCTCTCCGCTGTGAGTTCTTTTATGTTTACTGAGTGATGAGAACTTACTAAATGCCTTCCCACATTCCTTACATTCATAAGGCCGCTCTCCACTGTGAGTTCTTATATGGTTGATTAGGTGTGAGGACTGGTTAAAGGCTTTTCCACATTCCTTACATTTATAAGGCCTCTCTCCACTGTGAGTTCTTATATGTGTAGTGAGGGAAGAGGACCAACTAAAGACTTTACCACATTCCTTACATTTATAAGGAAACTCTCCACTATGGTTTCTTCTATGTATAGTCAGGCTTGAGACATCACGAAAAGATTTCCCACATTCCTTACATTCATAAGGCCGCTCTCCACTGTGAATTCTTTTGTGTTTACTTAGGGAAGAGAACTTACTAAAGGCTTTTCCACACTCCTTACATTCATAAGGCCGCTCTCCACTGTGAGTTCTTATATGATTGATCAGGTGTGAGGACTGCCTAAAGGCTTTTCCACATTCCTTACATTCATAAGGCCTCTCTCCACTGTGAGTTCTTATATGTGTAGTGAGGTGGGAGGACCGGTTAAAGGCTTTCCCACATTCCTTACATTCGTAAGGCCTCTCTCCACTGTGACTTCTTATATGTTTAGTGAGGGATGATGCACAACTAAAGGCTTTCTCACATTCCTTACATTCATAAGGCCTCTCTCCAGTGTGAATTCTTTTATGACTACTGAGGGATGAGGACTGACTAAAGGCTTTCCCACATTCCTTACATTTATAAGGCCTCTCTCCACTGTGAGTTCTTACATGTGTAATGAGGGATGAGGCACAACTAAAGGCTTTCCCACATTCCTTACATTCATAAGGTCGCTCTCCACTGTGAGTTCTTATATGTATAGTCAGCTTTGAGGACTTACTAAATGCTTTCCCACATTCCTTACATTCATAAGTCTTCTCTCCAATGTGACTTCTTGTAGGATTACTGAGGGATGAGGATTGACTAAATGCTTTCCCATATTCTTTATAAGGTTGCCCTTCACTATGAGTTCTTACATGTCTAGTGAAGGATAAGGCACAACTAAAAGCTTTTCCACATTCCTTACATTCATAACGGTGCTCTCCACTGTGAGTTCTTACATGGCCAGTCAGCTCTGAGGACGTACTAAATCCTTTCCCACATTCTTTACATTCATAAGGCTTATCTCCAGTGTGAGTTCTTTTATGATTACTGAGGGATGAGGACTGATGAAATGCTTTCCCACATTCCTTACGTTTATAAGGCCTCTGTTCACTGTGAGTACTTATAAATTTACTGAGGGATGAGGAAGAACTAACGGTATTCCCATATTCCTTACGCTCATAAGGATGCTTTCCACTATGAATTTTTTTATGTTCAATGAGGGTTGAGAACTGACGAAAGCCTTTCCCAAATTCCATACATTCATAAGGCCCCTCTCTACCAAGAGTTCTTATATGTGTAGTGAGGGATGACGAACAACTACAGGTAATGCCACATTCCTTACATTTATAAATTTTCTTTCCAGTAAGAGTTTTTACATGAGTGCTTAAGTGAGAGGAACAACCGCAGGCTACTCCACATTCCTTACATTGATAGGTATTATATCCAGCATGAGATCTGATGTGATATTTAAATGAAGAATGATTCATGAAAGCTTTTCCACACTCATGGCATTCAAAAGGATTTTCTTTAGCAGGAGTTCTTTTGAGCCTGGTAAGATATGCAATCTTGCTGAAAGGTTTTCCACACTTTTTACCTTCTTTCCTTTTCTTTACTTTCCCTTCTTTACTTTCCTGGAGGCTCTCAATTGTATGCCTTCTGTGAAAAATAGGCAGCATGCTGTTAGAATTAAGTTTGTTATCATTTCATAATCACAGTACACAGTGTGTATGTTTTCTGCCCTGAGCTATCTCATGTTGACCAGGTTGAATCATCTCACAGAGGTCAATTCCATTACTGTCACAGTGTTTCTAAACAATGGGGCTTTCCAATAATTGTATACAAGTGAAATATGTTGCAAATACTCAATATCTCATTCATATTTATGGAAATTTAGTATCGCACAAATTATGTGAACACAGAATTTTAGAGCTAGTTCTATGCACACAAACATATACACATAAATGTTATGATACCTTAAGACTTTCTCCTGAGATATTGCTCAAACTCACATGAATGATACTCACCTCACATGCCTCCCCTGGTTGTTATGCTGCTCTTCAATGCCATGGGATTCACAGATTTCTCCTAACATGGTGTACTGGGAATTATTCTTCATGAATCGCATTATTAAATGTTCACTGGACACCATTTGTCCATTATCAACCTGTTGAGAAACTAACCCGATAATTTTAAGTGAAGGTTCAAAATATGAAACAGAATGGTAAGGAACTTTTATGGAACAAAGCACCTGTAAGCACAGAACCGGAGGCATTTGGATTTTCAAAGACTTTGGCAATGGTTAAAAGAGTAAGTAATTTACTAAAAAATAATTTCTTGATGATTGAAAGTGGCAGTATCATAAATAGGATGTAATTAGGAAAGCATAATAGAAAGGTAATGCAAACAATGCATGTATGCAAAGGCTATGTTAAAAGAGAAATGGGAGGGTGGGGCTGAGATGATGGAGTAGTCAGACGCTTCTGGTGGACCCTCTTACAACAAAGACCTGAAAAAAGAAGTGATTTCATTGAATATAGCAATCTGGGAGCCCTGAACATCAAAGACAGAGTTGAGGAACCGGACTAAGTGGCAGGGGGAGGAAGAGACGGTTAGGAAGCAGCAAGGAGTTGCCAGACCTGAGCTGGTGAGAGCCTGAGCCCTTCAGGCCTGATCAGCTCATGGGTGAGCAGTGAGGTGGGCAAGCAACCGTGCTCGGGAGGCGCGTCTTCTGCACTGGGAGGCACCCAGCCGCTGAGAGTCTGCATGGCTACAGAGAACCAGTGAGAAGCAGCCCTCAATCTGGTGAAAGATAAGCAATTGTGTACGGCCTACTGCACAGATCAAATACACCCTCCTTAGGGAAAAACCCCTCTCCCATTTACCTCCCCGCTTCCTACTCTGCACTGGGTTCTAGACCGGCTTCAGCAATTGCCAAGTCCCCTGGGCCGGAAGCAGGATCTGTCAACACGAGCGGAGCCATTCTCCCTGCCTTAGAGAGTGAACAAATTAACAAACGGGAAAAATAAACTGCTGACTCTCCTAAGCTAGGAACCCAGGGTAGGCACACCTCCTTTGCCTAGGCACAGGCGTAAGGGATCCACGGACTTTGAGTGTCGTTCCCCCTGCATAGACTTGTGTGGGCCCATCTCAACAGCGAAGGCCCTTGTTACCACAGTTCAACAGGGTATATACCAGAACCCTAACATCAAATGTTTTAGCTGTGAAGTGGCAGGTTCTTGACATTTAACACTGTTCTGACCATTAAGCAGGGTCTTCACCTACCCAAATCAGGGGCCTGAGGACTCGTGGCTCCACCCACACCACCTAGCCATCTGTGATACAGGCCCATGAATAAGGGATGCCCCCAGTCCTTACAGCCAACAGCATGAGGTGCTCTTAGTATGGCTGTAAAACCTATGTGCTCTAGGGAACAGGGACATGCCTTCCTCCTGGACACTCGGGGGCAGCCGTCAGCCCCCAGCCTGGCTCAGACTGTGTTGCCCTGCTGCAGCCAGAAGCCTGTGCCTACACCAATCACCCTTGCCTGCCTAGGACTGTGAGAGCCCACACCACACATTTGGTGGCTATCTACCTGGGCAGCTGAGCTGAACCCATACAGGAGGAGTGGGTGGACTCCTGAGCTCACATACCTAGTTACAGATGTAACTACCTGGTGACAGGACATAAGCGCTTCAAAGGTGCCAATAATCAAACTAGCTCATATGAGCAGCCTATTTGGGCATATCAAAACAAAACCAGAAGCTAGGACACAGTAAGCAAACATAAAATAAATATAATAACCTATTGATGACTTGGAGACAACAGTCAACATCCAATCACATAAAGAGGCAATCCATGATGGCTTCAGCAAGCTCCCAAAATAAAGAATCTAGAAATTTTCCAGAGGAGGAAAATTTCTTGGAATTACTGGAGGCAGAATACAAAAGATTTATAGAGAACTCTTCAAGAAATTAGGAAGGAAATTGAGCAAAACACAGAACACACAATAGAGGAAATTAAAAAGATTACAGAAGAGTATAATGACAAACTTAACAGGCTGCAAGAATCCATAGAGACAGCAAACAGAAATCAAAAAGATTAACAATAAAATTTTAGAATTAGACAACTCAGTAGAAAGTCATAGGAGCAGAACTGAGGCAATGGAAGTCAGAATTAGTGAAACTGAAGATAAAGCACTTAACATCAACTTATTTGAGGAAAAAGCAGATAAAAGAATTTAAAAAATGAAGAAACCCTAAGAATTATATGACAGTGAAAGGAATAACCTACGAGTGATTGCAGAACAATAACGGAGAGGATAACAGAAAATACAGAGAGAATTGTTGAACATTTGTTGGCAGAAAGCTTCCCTGATATTGTGAAAGATGAGAAGATATCTATCCAAGATGCTCATCAAACCCCAGATAAGGGAGATCCCAACACAAAGTCACCAAGACATATTATAATCAAACTTGCCAAAACCAAAGATAAAGAGAGAATTTTAAGAGCAGCGATGGATAAATGAAAAGTCATCTAGAAAGGAGAGTCAATGAGAATAAGCTCGGACTACTCAGCAGAAACCATGCAGGCAAGAAGGTAATGTGATGACATATATATAGCCTTAGAGGAAAAACTGCTAGCCAAGAATTATATATCCAGCAAAACTGTCTCTCAAATATGACGGCAAAATTAGGGCATTTGCAGACAAACAGAAGTTTTGGGAATTTGCAAAAAGCAAATGAAAATTATGAGAAATGCTAAACGGAGTCCTCCGGTTAGAAAATCAGTAACATCAGATAGCAACCCAAGACTAGAACACAGGACAGAGCAACCAGATATCAACCCAGATAGGGAAGACACAAAAGTAAATCAAAGCTAAAACACTGAAAACAGGGAAACAGATATGAATATGTAAAAGATAACAATATTAAAACAAAAAAGAGGGACTTAAAAAATGTAGACATAGATTTTTCATACGGAGAGGAAGTCAAGGCGATATAAAGAAAGAAAATACTGGTATAAACTTAGAAAGATAGGGGTAAATATTAAGGTAACTACAAAGGAAACTAACTCCTACAAGTCAAAACAAACAACTAGAAAAATCTAAAGACTCAGCAAACACAAAATCAACAACAATGAAAAAAATGAAAAGAAAATACATAAAAACAATTCAACACAGAAAATTAAGTGGAACAAAGAAACTGTGAATAACACAAAAAAAGACATCACAATGACAGCACTAAACTCATACCTATCAACAATTATGCTGAATGTAAATGGACTAACTGCACCAATAAAGAGACAGAGTGGCAGATTGGATAAAAAAGCATGATCCGTCTATATGCTGCCAGAAGAGACACACCTTAGACTTAAAGACATAAACAAACTAAAATTCAAAGGGTGGAAAAAATATATCAAGCAAACAACACTCAAAAAAGAGCAGGAGTGGCAATATTAATCTCTGACAAAATAGACTTTA